TTTTAGCATGATCCTTTATCCTAACAGGAAATGGAGGTTTCTCAACATAAGTAGTAGGGACAATAGGATCACTATAGGTAATAGTCTTTTCTTCAACTGTAATAGGTGCAACTACTTTCACTTCAACAGGAGGATTATATTTAAACCACTTCTCTTTAGGTAGATCAACGTGAGTAGCAAAAGATTCACAGAAAGAAGCTACTATCTCAGAGTCAAGTCCATACTTAGTGCTAAATCCACGAAAAGCATCAGTATCCATAAAAGATTTAACACAATCGAATTTATGTGTCATACCTGACTCCTTACCATCGTCAGAACCCCAATCTTCAGAGTTGCGTTTAATTCTCTCCAATAAGTCCCATTTGAAATCAATAGTCTTCAACATATAAGAACCAGCACAGGAAGTATCGAGCAGGTTGCGATTATTAAGAGAAAGTCGAGCATAAAAATTTTGAATAATCATTTTCTGGGAGAGCTCATGATTGGGGCATGAATATAACATTGACTTAAGCCTCCCCCAAGCTTGAGCGATGCTTTCTCCTTCGCGAGGCCAGAAATTATATATGTAATTACGATCACGATAAACAAGATGCATAGGGTAGAACTTCAGGTGAAATTCCAACTTCAATCGCTTATAATTCCAAGATCTCGTATCACCACATAGCCTATACCATGTCAATGCATCTCCCTTCAAAGATAAAGGGAAGATCTTCCTTTTGACAACATCATCGGAATACCTGCAAGCTTAAATAATCCACAAACTTCATCCATAAAGATAAGGTGTAAATCGGGATGCAATGTTTTGTCTCCTGTAAATGGATTAGCTAGCAGTTTCTCTATCATACACGAAGGAATCTCAAAGTAAATATTTTCATAAAGTTTAGTAGGTTGAGGAGCAACTCTTTGCTCTTCTGGTCGGGGTGAAGATACCCCGAACAAGCCCCTCAAAGGATTAGTTTCCATAGTGACAAGTAACAGAAAATTTCAGCACACTATATAAATGTTTCCTTACAAAGTTCCACTCACCAAAAGCGCTACACTCCCCGGCAACGGCGCCAGAAAAGAGTCTTGATGACCCACAAGTGTAGGGGATCTATCGTATTCCTTTTGATAAGTAAGAGTGTCGAACCCAACGAGGAGCAGAAGGAAATGATAAGCGGTTTTCTATAAGGTTTTCTCTGCAAGCACTGAAATTGTAAGTGATAGATAGTTTTGCGATAAGATAAATAGTAATGAGTAACAAGTAAATAAAGTAAATAAAGTGCAGCAAGGTGGCCCAATCCTTTATGTAGCAAAGGACAAGCCTGGACAATTTCTAATAATGAGAAAGGAGCTCCCGAGGACATATGAGAATTATCGTAAAGCTAGTTTTCATCACGCTCATATGATTCGCGTTCGATACTTTGATAATTTGATATGTGGGTGGACTGGTGCTTGGGTACTGCCCTTACTTGGACAAGTATCCCACTTATGATTAACCCCTATTGCAAGTGTCCGCAACTACAAAATAAGTATTAAGGTAAACGTAGCCACAACATTAAACATATGGATCCAAATCAGCCCCTAACGAAGCAACGCATAAACTAGGGTTTAAGCTTCTATCACTCTAGCAACCCATCATCTACTTATTACTTCCTTATGCCTTCCTCTAGGCCCAAATAATGGTCAAGTGTCATGTAGTCGACGTTTACATAACACCACTAGAGGAAAAGACAACATACATCTCATCAAAATATCGAACGAATACCAAATTCACATGGCTACTAATAGCAAGACTTCACCCATGTCCTCAGGAACAAACGTAACTACTCACAAAGCATATTCATGTTCATAATCAGAGGGGTAATAATATGCATTAAGGATCTGAACATATGATCTTCCACCAAGTAAACCAATTAGCATCAACTACAAGGAGTAATCAACACTACTAGCAACCCACAGGTACCAATTTGTGGTTTTGATACAAGATTGGATATAAAAGATGAACTAGGGTTTGGCGAGGAGATGGTGCTGGTGAAGATGTTGATGAAGATTGACCCCTTCCCGATGAGAGGATCGTTGGTGATGACGTTGGTGATGATTTCCCCCTTCCGGAGGGAAGTGTCGCCGGCAGAACAGCGCCGCCAGAGCCCTAGATTGGTTCCGCCTCGTGGCGGCGGAGTTTCGTCCCGTAAGCTTGCCCACGATTTTTTCCAGGGTAAAAGCCTTCATATAGCAGAAGATGGACACCGGAGGGCCACCAGGGGGCCCAGGAGACACGGGGGCGCGCTCCCCACCCTCCTGGACAGGGTGTGGGCCCCTTGGTGTACTTCTTCCGCTCAATAATTCTTATTAATTCAAAAAATAGGTTTCGTGGAGTTTCAGGATTTTTGGAGCAGTGCAGAATAGGTTTCCAATGTTTGCTCCTTTTCCAGCGAGAATTCGAGGTGTGGGCATTCCCCCTCTTCATGGTAAACCTTGTAAAATAAGAGAGAATAGCCATAAGTATTGAGATATAAAGTGTAATAAGAGCCCATAATGTAATAAATATTGATATAAAAGCATGATGCAAAATGGACGTATCAGGGTAAAGTAGTGATCGTCCTCCGAGGTGCTCGCCAGCGAGATTTCTCCTGTCTGGGGGCCCCATAGACTGCCGCTGCCGCCACCATAGTTGGAAGCGTTGGAGCTGCAGCCGCGGCAGGGCCCAGAGCCGGAGGGTGCGAGCCGGAGGTGGAGAGGTGCACAGGGCTGCCATTGTTTGCAACACTAATGTTCAGACAAGTGTGAATAGTCTATGCCTCATGTCACCTGCCATTATTATTTGTACACATATTTTACTAGCCCGTGGCAACACACGGGCGTTCTACTAGTATATTTAATTATGCAAATTTGGCAGCCGTTTGGTGGAAGGCAGTGGCGAAGCTATGTTGAGGCTAGGGGGCTGATGCCCCCCAGCCTTGGACAAAAGTCTAAAGATTTTTTTGAAGGACCTAGGTGAGAGGAAAATTAGCCTTTCGCCCCCGTCCCCAGGCGACGCGGCTGGCCGCCCAGCTGTCCATGGCCTGCAACCACACCATCAATTTCGACCCATTCTAGTGCAAGACGGGCTGGCGGTGGTGATGGGCACGACCCTCTCCACATGTGCCCAGTTACCGTTTATACCCATCCATTTGGTACAACTTATCTCTGTGGAAAGATGGACAAAAGATCTGGACGCACATGGTCACATTATCACTAATGCCGCATTGTTGGTTTAACTATAATACGTAGCAGCTGATTAGGTGAGCTCATGAAAAGGCTTGCAAATAAATGGATCATCAAAAGGCAAACAGTCTGGCAAGCATGTCTAAATAGATGTTCACTCATCATTAGTCACAAAGACAAATCCACACACTCATTAAGACATACATCCCACAATCTCGACTAAACTGATCTGTTCATCAATCAATTAATTTAAAGCAAATTGGAATGGGGGCTCACTCAGCATCGTCGGTCTCGAAAGAAGTGGAGGGGGTGAAGTAGAGATCGTCCTCCGAGGTGCTCGCCGGCGAGATCTCCCCTGTCTGGGCCCCCACGGACTGCCGCTGCTGCCACCATAGGTGGCAGCGGTGGAGCTGCAGCCGCGACATGGCCTAGAACCTAATGTTCAGACAAATGCGAATAGTCTATGCCTCATGTCACCTGACATTATTCTTTGCACATGGGTTCTACTAGTATATTTAATTATGCAAATTAGCCAGCCGTTTGGTAGAAGGCAGCGGCGAAGCTATGTTGAGGCCAGGGGCCGATGCCCCCAGCCTTGGAGAAAAGTCTGAATTTTTTTTAAAGGACCTAGGTGAGAGGAAAATTAACCTTTCGCCCCCTCCCCCAGATATTTATCATTTACGTTTGGCCCCCAGTAGTTTTTGTGTAGCTCCGACACTGGTGGAAGGCGTTTTTTTGCACTAGTTGGAGCACCAAGCCAAATACTTAGCTCTTTGCCTTGTGATTGGTGATGATTGGTGCTTAGTAGCCATGATTTGGCCGGGCTAGATTTAGCGAAGGCTACCGAGGCACTATGATTAATAGCCTTTCATCAAACTAAAGCTAATAATCTTTTTGTAAGTTAATAGAGTCAAAAATTTACAGTAAAGAGTTGATGGTCGGTTCATGTACGGTCAAGACCGATCCGCGGACGGGTATGACATCTGATTTTGGGTCAGCGTTGGAGATGCCGTAAGGACTTGTGAATCAAACAATCAAGGCCAAAAGTTCTTTTCCCCGCTGTTGGGAAACCTTTTCTCCACGGGAAACTCTTGCCTTCACCCGATGGATCGCACGCGAGCGATCCGCCGCCTCCACCATGTGACGCGTGTACACATATCCTTCATGTCTCTCTTTCTGCAACGTCACTAGTGTTGCAAAATTGCCTTCCACAACAACAACCATGTTGCGAAAAAATGAAGACAAAAGAAAAATGACAAATATTTTTGCAACATTGTGTGTGTTGCAATTTGGTTTCTGCAACAACACTGATGTTGCCAAAATAGTGATGATTTTTTTGACAATGTCAACTATGCCAGAAAAGATTTTTGCAACATAAGCTTTGTTGCAAAGTATTTCCGCAACCCTGCCCTTGTTGCAGTAATGAGAACGACGTTGGATGATGGATAGCTGTACAACTGACAAATGCCGAGGCGGCGGATCTTTTAGAAAGATCCATCGGCTGACTCGTAGCGTGGTCCTTTCTCCACCCGCTGCATCCTTCAAAAAAAACCTTGGCAGTTAGTATCCGAGAGACGTTCCTCGTGTCCTCATATTACCAAAGTCATCCGAAATACGGCTAAATAAGGCCGTGAGGGTCGATCAGAGGACCATCTTCCCCGAGTTCTAACATTGGACTGCTGACCAAATGTCACACAAATCAGCCATGGACGACCATCCCCCGGCGGCTTACAAGTTACTGCTAGTACGATCCAGTCTCGTTTCCCATCTTAAAATACCACAGAAATTCCATCCCTTTCGCCATTTGATCCGACATGTTACTCGTGCTTCTACTATTGTGCATGCCTTTGCTGCTTGGCTCCCGCACGCAGCCGCTGGACGCGAGCTGCGCGCCGGCGGCGTGCGGCGACCTGACCATCACATGCCTGTTCTGGCTGCTCGGCCACCACGAACCGAGCTGCGGCTACCCAACCTTCGGTATCACGTGCGACGACCCCACCGGCGCCACGGTGCCCTCCCTCAGCAAGTCCTACCTCCGCCTCCTCGGCATCCGCTACGGCAACCGCTCCGTGGTGGCCTTCCACAGCGGCCTCGTCGCCGGCAGCGATGACCCCTGCCGCGCGACGCGGTTCAACGTGTGCAACAGCCTCGCACTCTCGCCGCTGGCCGTCAGCGGCGCCAATTGGGAGCTCTTCTTCTGCAACAACTGCTCGCGTGCGCCGCCGCCGCCCGTAGGGGCACTCTGGTTGCCCAACAACTGCTCCAGCACCACCGACGCCTGGTCCGTGCACATAGGGCGGAGGTACGAGACCCGGCCGGTGGGGCCGGCGGAGTGCAAGTACTCGGTCGTCCCGGTGCTGCCCGGCTCGGAGCTGCGGGCGTGGGACAACTACGTGGGGATCGTCGGGCGCGGGTTCCTGCTGGAGTGGATGGTGCCCGGGGACTGCGCTGGTATGAAGCCGGCGCCAACGCCCTATGTAAACAATTTGGCATCTTTCAGGGTTTGTTTGCTATATTTAAGCCATTTAGTGCATTTCTAGTCATACTGCATATAATTCATTTTTTAACTACAGTTGTATGAAAAAGTTGTCAAAATTGGGTTGAGAAAACATATTTGTGTTCTTGAGTCCCTTTGTAGCCTTGTCCAAGACAAGAAAAGGAATTTCAATCATGAGGGTGCCAAGACTTAACACCAATCATGAGGAGCCACTGATGGAATTGCTTATTGTTTGCATGTAATGAATATAAATTACCTACAATATCTCGACCTATTACCAACATGAGAAGAACACAAGCCATCAAATTAAACTAGCATGGTCGAGTGCACGCGTGGGAGGGGCCCCGAGTGCGGATGACGCCTGGACCATAGGCCCCATTGATGCATGTCTCGGTATTACAAGGCTATGCCTAGTCCTTCGCCCGAGGGGATTACTCACACATCGCAATCGAACCACAAATGAGAGACATTGTAGATAGGCTTATTTGAAGATGGATGATTAACCGTCTTATAATGTCGCTAATCCCAATGGGGTCTTAATTGCAAGTACTGATCTTATGTAGATGGAGATGACAATTGTGGTGGAGAGACCCTTTAGATAGTGCAATATAGAGTTTCGGGGACACCTCATTGCGAACTGTACCTCGGCCCAATAAAAAAGATTCATGTGCGGGCGTCATAAAAGTGGTGGCACCTTGTACTACTGAGACGATACATGTAATATAAAATTTCAATATGTATAATTTTCAGAAATATATATGCATTTTTATACTTAATGTTTTAATATTTATTTTTTGTTTGACGGCCTTTAAAAGTCAAATTAGGATTTGGTGGTGAGTGTAATGTTTAAAACAACCAAGAGAAAACTTCGGAGGTCCATCAAGTTTTGCCTAGAATCACACATTATGTACTTTGCATACGAATGCATGGCTTACTGAAAATACAAGGGAAAAAACTCTAAGGAATTAAATATGTATCTTCAATGTTTCAATTGCAACTAAACAGGGATTATTCAATGAAACTGTTTCTGCCAAAACAAAATTGAGCTTCTACGTTCCCTCATCTACACATCCTCCTCATTCACGAGAAAGAAATGATTCACGATAATCTATATTTTCTTAGACCGGATAGTAGAGTTGTGTGTACTTACACTCCAACCCACTCAGGATTAAAAAGAAGGATTGCCCCGGGCCTCTGCATACCCACTCGGGATCAAGTCTTAGGTGTGGACTTCATTGGATGATATGTCTTGTGTGTATTGGAAAATGCAATTTTCAAGGGAAAAAGATGCAAGGCGGAAGATAGATTGGGCCACAGACTGGACGATGTGTATTTATCCAAGGTCCGATGCACACATTTTTTAAGGCCTGTCCTGTGTCCACCGTTCTCATTTCCGGTCCAAAATCCATGCTGCCATGTGTTTTACTTAGAGGCTATAGCACGCGAAGGTGTTGTTGTCTTTTTTTCTCTAGCAGCTTATGGTAGTCGGCTGTTTTGTTTTGATTTTCTCTGTGTTGACTTGGATTTTAATTATGTTCTGGTAGTGTTATTTTTGTGTGTATTGTGATAGGCTGTTATTATAGATGATATTTGTTCTAAGATGAGAGGGGAGTCGTTTGACGTGTGGTAGTGATGCCCTTATGTGTTACGGCATGAGTGTTAGCTGGTGGTTGTTGTGTGAGCCTCTTGAGATGATCTACTCCAGGCTAAAACCGTGGAATTGTTGTTATAATGTTCACATGGTCCAGGAAGCTCTCGCTCACTTAGCTCTCATTTGCTTAGCTTTTATTCACTCGCTCCGGCTAACATTCTTTTACTAAAGAATTGTTAAATCAAAAGATATTCAAGGTTTTAAAAGCCCTTGGATTTTTTAAAAAACATATAATATACTTTAAAAAATGTTTGTAAATTTGAAATAAACTAAGCAAATTTAAAAATGTTCACAAACTTAAAAAATATTCATTAACTTTAAATATATTTATGAATTTAACAACCTTACAGGGCCACTCTTGGCGCACTCTGGGAGGCTTCAAATCTAAGAGGCTTCTGATGGCATGTCTCTGCTCTCTTTCTGTCCTAGAAATAACTGATTAATGAACACTGAATGTATTTCTCAAAGAAGAACAAAGAAAACTGAAGGTGAGGCAGAATAGAAGTCACAGAATCATTGTAGACCCACGATTATGAAAGCTGAATGTGAGACAGAAGACATTCAGTGTACCGATGTTTCTGTAGAAGAAAGCCTGTCAGTGTATCCATCCCAACTGCAAGCAAAAAAGGGTCAAATTTTGTGTACGCAAAATCTGCACTGCACTCAAAATCAGAACAATTTATTTCTCATTTATTCATCGCCGAATCTGTTGGCGATTAGCCGATTACACAAGTACAGAAAACACTGGGGAAAGAAACACAATACAGAGATGTCTCATCAGACTCGCAAGAACTCGCACACACATCAACCAAATTGGCTCCAACCTGAATGAGCATACGTCCAAACGCATGCACTCAGCCGGAGATCTCGATGGCCTTCACCTCGGGCTTCTTGACCTCGGCCTTGGGCACGGTGACGGTGAGCACGCCGTTCTCCAGCCCGGCCTTGACCTCCTCCACCTTGGCGTCCTCCGGCAGCCGGAAACGCCGCACGAACTTGCCGCTGCTGCGCTCCACGCGGTGCCACTTGTCGTTCTTGTCCTCCTTCTCCCTGCTCCGCTCGCCGCTGACGACGAGCACGTTGCCGTCCTCCACCTCCACCTTGACCTCCTCCTTCTTCACGCCGGGGAGGTCGACCTTGAAGACGTGCGCCTCGGGGGTCTCCTTCCAGTCCACACGGGCGTTGGCGAACGCGGCCGTCTCGCTGCTGCCGCCTGAGATCGCCGGGACGATGGAACGGAAGGTGTCGAAGGGGTCCGCCCAAAGGTCGGCGAAGGGGTCGAACACGTTGCTCCGCCTCACGATCGACATCGTCAGTGTTTGCTTTGGTTTGGCTTGTGCGCTCGGAAAATTCGGTATCGGATCGTAGGTAGGAAAAGGATGTTGTTTGCTGTTGCGTGACACTGGCTTGAGTTGGGATGGACCGATGGAGACCGATGGGACTGAGGCTCAGGTACTTATAGCGTCGCAGGTGCTGCTCTTGAAGCATCTCGAATACTCTGAGCGTTTGGTTACGTTTCGCTTTTCAGCTCGGCTCCACGAGCTTCTCCTTGTTTTTCTTTTCGGCCCATGAAGGTGCTACCGTGTTCTAGAGTACTCTCCTTCTTTGATGTTAGTGGACCTTCTCCATTATTTTTCTCTCTACGGATCCAGCACCCCGGCGACTACTCTGGAATACCGAAAAAGGGTTTCCCCGCTTTGTATACAAAGCAACCAACCAAACCATACAAGAATATGTGCTGGGGCGGAAGCAGCACAGTCACGCCCAAAAAAACGATAGAGAAAGAACAAAAGAAAACAAATGCCGACAATGGCGGATCAACAAAAACGAAGAAGCCTCGCGATCGCAGCGCCCACCGGGATCTTCCACTAGACTCCAAGACTCCGAAGCGGCGGCACCTATCAACACCTCCAAGAAGGATCGCGATGATGATGACGCTGCTGCCAAGGGTTTCCCACGGTACACGACGAGGCGAGAGGAAGGGTAGCCCATGACGCCCTCCCGGAAGGTCAGGTGGCACCCACAGGCGCCACCGCGTCTGTGTCGGCCCCGCCGACAGGGGTTTCCCTCGATCCCAACCCGCACCTTTGGCGCTCCGGATCCAGCCACCAAACCAACCATCACCCTGCGCCAACGCGGTCATGAGGCCCCCACCCCGTCTCACCACGGCACCGCGAAGTGGGGACAGCGCGGCGAAGAATCAGAGCCAGGACTAGGGCATCAGCACCGTCGGCACGCGGGAGGGCCCCACCTCCACCGTCCGCGACGGTAGCCGTCCGGACGCAATAGCAGGAGCACACCAGGCCTGTGGGCCCACAGGCCCGGCCGAGCCCTCGTGGGCCCGTAAAGCTCCTGCCTTCGCGCTGCTGCCGGCACGCCAACGGCGCCGACGCCCCATATCCGAGCCGCTCCTCCTCCTCACCGCGCCGCGGACAACGAGGCCACGCCGAGGGGCCGGTCCGCTAGGACCCAGATGGGGCCCGCCGGACCCAGATCTGGGCCGGGGGCGCGACATCGGCCACCCAGCACCACCACGCCGCCCCGTCGCCAAGGAGCAGCGCCGCTACCACGACCGCCGCCGGCCACCCCGCCGGATCACCGGACCGTCGCCAAGCTGAGGAACACCGCCGCCGCCCCCTGCCCCGGGCCAGGGGGACGCGCGTGCGGGGAGAGGAGATCCTGCCGCCACCGGCACCCCCCGAGCCGTAGCCGGGGGCGCCCACCGGCGACGGCAGGGGAGAGGATGAGGGGCGACGCCGAGAGCAGGGGCACGGGGCCGCCTCGACCGCCTCCCGGGGAGGCGGCACGAGGGCGGAAGGAGGGGCTGGGGAGGAAGGGCGGGGGGAAGGGGGCGGATCCGGGCCGCGCGCCGGCGAGGGCGGCTAGACCCCGCCGGAGACGGGCAGGGGAAGGAGGCGGCGGCGAGGGTTTCGGTCGCGGGAGCGGTCGCTCGCGGGAGCGGTCTGCTAAATTTCTATCCCACTTTGTTTTTTTGGAATAACAACATAGTTTACCATTGTCTACTCTGGAATATGATGGGGCCTTTTCTAGAAGAAGACATTGAGAACTCGAGATGACTCATGACCGCACCGAGCATACGATTCGCACCAGAGCTGAGACTAACCGAGAAGAACTGAGACCAAAGCTACGATCCAATTACATGACTTTTTAATGAACCTGATATGAGATAGAGTCAAATCTTTTGTCCAGGTTTAACTTAAGCAATAGTAATATGTCCAGATCGCGGTAATGGCAGACGCACGGAGGGGCCTATTAGGGAATTTACGGAATATCAGACGTGGGCGATCGGGATTGGAGAAGAGGGAGCATACGCCCCACCCCCACTGAAAATCAGGGAGGGAGAGAGATTAGTTCAGAAGAAAATTACGTAA